ATACAAAGCAAGTGATGCACAATGCAATTGCTCACCACCCGCCGACCGATGCCCAGCCAGTCCCCGAGCAGCGGCCCGCCCGGCCAGCTTTCCCCAGTTTATGTACTGAGCATGACGTCACATGGTATGGAATGTCCCTTTGGCCAGTTTGGCTGTGCCCCCTCCCAGCTTCTTGTGCACCTCCAGCCTTCTCAGTCGGTAGAGCATGGGAAGCTGAAAAGTCCTTGGCTAGTGTAAGCATTACCTAGCAACAACTAAAACATGGGTGCGTTATCAACTTTGTTCTCATCCTAAATCCAAAACACTGTACCAGCTACTAGAAAGGAAATTAACTCTATCCCTGCCGAAACCAGGACAGCTGACTATATTCCTTCCCATCCATTAAAGGATCAGAGCAGAGCTCCATGTCAAGTCATAAACTGAAGCAAGAGATTATGCTGGGATAGGGTTCACTGTATGGGTGTGGGGAAGGGGTTTTTCAACAATCCTATCCTTCATAGAACCACAAGATACTTCAGGCTGGAAGAAACCTCAGGAGGTCTCTAGCCCAACCTCCTGCTCAAAGCAAGGTCAATCATGAGGTCTGATCAGGTTGCTCAGGGATTTATCCCATGTCCAAGGATACAGGCTGCACAACATCAGTGGGCAACCTGTTCCAGTGCTTAACTGTCCTCATCATGAAAACATTTTTCTTTACATCCAGTCAAAACAATTCTTGCTTCAATTTGTGCCCATTGTGTCTTGTCCTCCCACCAGGCACCATTACAAAGAGCCAAGCCCCATCTTCTTGGTATCCTCCTTGGAGGCTGCAGTCTCCACATTGGGAAGGACTTCTCAGGGACTAACCAACCTACCCTCTTTCCCACCTCTGCAGCAAGAAAGATCACAGGGTTGTCAGGACATTAGTAAGGAAAGGCAGGCCCCTGACCTCCTTAACTCTCACCAATGCTTTTTGATAAAAACCTCAGTAATAAGAACTCGGTGTATTATGATACCTCTGTATCAGTCCAGTGTAAAATTCAAATGGTATGGTTCACTTCTACAATACATGGCTAGTTGTTCCCATCTTCCCCTGCAATCAGCACAGATTATGTTCTCACTTAAACTGAGACAGAGTGCATGCCTAAGCCCTCATTTTCCAAACATCTAATATAAACCCTCTTATTCCTTCCGCAACCTCTTTTCAACATGTCTTTGGAAACACTTCTGGAACTAACCCTCTTGGAGGGAGATACACGCAGTCTACATGGTAGAACAGTGGCAGCCTATATAGGAAAAAAAAAGCCAAAACAGACTTTTATCCACTCAGACTGCATCAATATTCATAGTCCATGTAAAGTACCTAAGCCTCACCGTTTCCTTTACTTTCTTCTTCATCCACAGCAGGACACTGATATCACCTCCTGACTTCTGCTAACAATTCTATTCAAGTCAAAGAGACCAAGTTTGAAGTAGTCACATCTCCCAGGTTTATAAATTCTGTTCCAGGTCCAAGAGGTGCATCAATGCTACTGCTAAAGCAAGACGCTTTTTATTATTTGAGAAACAGAACTGTAAACTACCTTCTATCACGATTTAAACTCATCTGACACTGGCAAGAAATGGACTAGGAACACTCCTCCAGTCTAATCACGTTCTCAAATGAAAGATGATTATTAATAACTGACAAATTTGAGGAACTGCTTTAAAAAAATCTCCAGGTATGTGGCAATGGCTGCAAATAAAGTATCAGCCATTTTCAAGCTACAGTTTGAACAGGGCATATATGCACAAAACAAGCCCTGAACACTAGTTCAAATGCAGAGACAGAAATTCCTTGATATTAAAATTAAAAACAACAGGAATAGGTCAGAACACCTGCCAGACCCAGGTTCTGCCCAAATATGCATCAACAGCAGCAGCAGCCTAGTACGTTCTGCTTCTCTGCAGGGTATCACAGTGGACAAAGCAGACTACGAAAACGTCTACTTATTCCCACTAGCTCTATTATGACAACTGTATTACAATAGAGTACTTGTTTGTAAGCATACAAAAATTTCCTTAATAAAAAGGAGTTAATATAACTATACACCTGACATAATATATACATACACACACATATCACCTAACATATAGACCAGATATTAAAATAGGAAGTAGTTGAGCTATGACATTTCAAAGCCCAGCTGTGCTAATTAAAAAGAGAACCAACTTACAGATGCAGCTCCTACAGAAGGAATAGCAGTCTCCTGTCCTGGAGGTCTTCCTCTTGCTCTGGCTCTAGCTCTTCCCGTCATCTTCTCTTCTAAGACAAACCACCTTCAGCATTAGTGTTCAATCTTCTCCTTCCCCATCCTTATTCCAATATTATGAGCAACAGTATTGCATTTGCCCTTGTTTAATTTCAACTGGTTCAGCAAAATATACCCTCCTCCGCAAACTTCCCTGCTCTTGGATCTCCACACTAACACAGCCACAACAGGTAGTGTGGGGAAGTTACAGCTTCTTATAGTCAAGTTTGAACCTACTGGCACATCCCACGACAAATTCTGAAGCTGTGAAGAAAGTCAACCACACTGGAGAGCATGGCAGAATCTCCAACCTCAGCCAAGTATAACTCGGGGCCTACTGATGTTACTTTCAAGTTACACTTGAGACTCAATTCAGACTAATTTGTTACGCTATTCTAGGAGCGGCGCACACTTCACCCAAAGCACACAGCGACCCTGACCACCTGGTCAGCTCCCCCATGATGCAAACTGGCCCCAGAGACCCGTCCACCCTCTCCCCCCACAGCAACCCTTCCCTTCCACGTGGGCTCGACCCTAACCTCTCCGCCAGCCTCGAGCAGTTTGCGGGGCCAAAATCCGCGCCCAGAGGAGCCCCCCCTCCACCGCGCG